AGAGATGGCATGGTCTTTAAACATGAATTAGGCAGCTCTAGTTAGGCCCAAAACAGTGCCAAAATGCTAAGTGCATGGAGGCAAATGACATGCAAACATGCATTAGATACATGGTCCAAGACTAAGCATAATGAAGCGACTTTTCGACGCACATTTTGAAAGGCACAAACATGGACAATTTTCATGCGAATTCAGAGTGATAGGTGATGCCAAACAGCCCCGAAACATAACGAAACAACACTCAACGCATGGAATGAATCCCGAAATGCCAAAATTAGGCCCATGAAATGGCTTACAGCTATACAAAGCATGCATAATATGGACATGGAGCATGGAAGACAGAAGCAAGAAGCTCTGAGACAAGAATTTTTACAGTTTATGGCATGGCCAAACAGTAAGCAAAGACGGGCTAAATGGCATACCAAAAACGGGCTACCACATGGATTTCAAAGCAAGTAGCACAAGAGTACTCAAACAGTGTTGAGCCCTTCTTCAATGTTGAAGAAGGGCTCAAAATAAGCAACTTCACAGTTTATAACATGCCTCAAAACAGATCACACACAAGCCAAAAATATTATGCAAAATTATGGCATAAAGAGGGCTAATGAAGGAAGTGCTAGCTACTGTCCTCAAACAGCAAGAGATCCTCAATCAAACATTGAAGAGGACTCAAAATATGATGATTTGAAGTTTGGGTCGGAGCCCAAGATTAACACAAGGAGCTAAGAATATAGGCCAAAAAAATGCACAAAAGAGGGGAAAGTGGACTCACCCCTGTAGAACAATCTTTTAGCAACCTTTGGACTGAGTTTGGGAGCTTTTAACCTCTGGAGGACAGCCTCAAGCTGCTGGAATGGCGTTGGATGCCTTTGTGCTATGAGTTGATGAAGAAATGGCCCAAGAACAAGGTGTGTTTGATGTTGAATGAGAGAGATATGGAGAGAGCTTGAGGTTGTATTATGTATACTCATATTAATGGTATATCTCTGGTTTTTGCCTCATTTTAAACCATCCAACCTAGACAAAGGGAGAGGAATGGTGCTTATATAAGGCAAGGGAAGCATTTAGCTTACAAGTTAAGTAAAGGGAAAGGGTCAAAGGGGTTCAAGGAGGGGTTCAAGGCTTCTAGAGGAAGCTAAAACAGCTGGGCTTCTCCAAGAAGCTTGGCCAAAGGGTTCAAGCTTCTAGAAGGTTAGGGGGTTCAAAGGCTCACAAGGTGCAAAACAAACACACATGTGCGTGGGGGATCGATTCTGTGCATTCCAGCTGGCACAGCTGGAATCCACTCAATCTGCAGAATGCTCCGGAAGGTCGTCGGCTAGCAAAAATTGCCGGTCAGCAAAATAAAGTGCCGGTCGGCACAATAAATTGCCGGCCGGATAAATATAGTGCCGGTGGATGGCCGGTAAGGTCAAAAAACAGCCGGTTGGTGTCCAAATTGAAGCCCCGGAAGTTAGATTTCCAATGGCGCAAACCTTGCATTAAAATTCCTCTTGTGAAAAAAGTTATGCCCATTTTGGTGAAGCCGCGCAGATTCGATCCAACCGGGATGATACCCAACTTCAACCGATCATATCTCCCCCACCCGGACTTGGCTTTAAGAGATTCTTGAGTGAAAAATGAGGCCCCGGAAGTAAGCTTTCCGACGGTGGTGGCCTCATAGCTAAACTCCAAGTGTACAGACAGATAAGCCCGATTCAGCGAGGGCTGCTCAACTCGCTTCTACCCGGATTCATGCCGAACTTTTCCCAAACTAGTTTTCTCCTCTCCTTTCCTCTTTTCTTCAACTCCAAAACCCTAAACAAAGTGTTTTGAAAGATTTGCCTCTCTTCTAGCCGAAGAAACTGATTCTTTGCCCTGCACAATCTCTCAACACCGAGCAAACCATCAGTAGTGCCCAAGTCTTAAGGGCGGCCAAAAATGGGGTGTCTACAATAATCATCTAATTAAAAGTATAAAGCAGGTTTAAACTAATTCAAGCATAAAGTAAGTATGGAGTTTCGAGTTATGTGTTTGGTTATGCGTTTACTAAAGTAGCTTATCAGAAATGATATTTCATCTTCAAGTAAAATGGAAAAAACTAATCCTCTAATTTACTGGAATAAGTAATTAAATTGGCTTTGACACAAACACATAGCTATCATACTCCTATCCTACATGCATATCAAAAAAAAAAAATTCGATAAACTTTGTAATAAACTAATTTGAAAGAATAAAAAATAAATAAATGACCAAAAGAATAAATATTGAATGTAGCCCTTATATGCTCAACTTGAAGAACAGATTGATCGCATCTCTTCATTCAATTTTACCAACATAACAATGATAATCACCAAACAAAGAAAAGAAAATATGGACTCCCTTGAATGGTAATCACTTCAAATAAACAGAGCAGCAAATCTATCACATTATATTGAGCCAATAGCTCACTTTTGACTGACAGGCAATTTTTATGTCAAAGTAAGTTTGTTCTGACTGCTTTAAGCTATTGACAGTTGGCAAAAGTATGGAGTTTGATATATAGATAAAACTGTCGAGAGTGGGCAACAGCACCGACCTTATCCTGCAACCACTGCATACAGAGAGCACCAAGCTTATCATCAAAAAATCCCACACCCAACTGACTTGCCAATAAAGGTATGTACTCTATTATTGCAAGTCGAACCCTCCAATGCCTATCCTCAGCAAGTTCAACTATAGCTGGCAATAGAGATTGTGACAAAAGATCAATTCCAATAACCTGCAATAATAGCTACTTATCAATATGATTGGAAATAAATATGCATATATTCAGTCTGCAAGTGCATTGCAGAAGAGCATGTAAATATGACAGAAGACATGAACACCTAAACATTTAAAGGCATACATAAGCATGAGCGAGAGATGCATAGGACAGTATGGACAATCATGAGTAAATTGTAAAGATTTGGCAAAGCATAATTAGGGCCAATCTCTATTGTTATTATTATTTTTAAAAATGCCAAAATAATATACAAAAGTAAATTATCCTGATGAGGTGAAATCAGCCATGCATGAAATACACAACAAATATGAATAGTGATTCTCCTCATCTTTGTTGCATAACACACAACAAATATGAAGGCCCATTTGGAAACGTTATTTTTTGTTGCCCCTATATATCATGTTTGGATTGAAAGGAACTCCAGAATTTTTTGGAGGAATGAATAGGCATGATTGTAACTTATGGGAATTTCTTTTAAGGTTCTGTTTGTCTTTATTGCTTTGATTAGATGGTTTCTACTTGTGTTCTTGTCTTGATTGCTTTTAAGGTTCTTTGATACTGTTGTTTCTTTGTTTGCTATGGGGTATGCCTTGTTTTGTTGTTTTTGTACAATAAAACTTATAAAAGTAATTTACCAAATAAAAATAATCCATTGTAATTAAGTTTTACCTTGTTGAAGTAAAATTTGTAAAAAATTTAATTGACTATTCTCAGAAACTCCACAATGACTCTCAGAAACCCTATAGAGTTCAGCAAGCCAACAGATAGCTTTAAGTAATTCAGGGAAAAAAATGGCTGACCTCATAAAAATCAACAAAAAAATGTGTGAAAACCCCGCCATAAACCACACCTGCAAGGGGAAAAAGCTAATCATTAAATAGAATTACATCTAGAAAGTCTATTTTTCTAAAAATATAAAGGAAACAATAGACAAACAAAGTAGAAAATGCAGTTTTAATCGAAGGATATAGCGAAGGAATTCTTTTACAAAATTGGATCACTAATTTGCAAAAAATAAATTGAACTATTAAATTTCCAAAATCTGGTAGAAGAATTCTTTTACAAAATTGGATCACTAATTGCACCATGAAAAATAAATCGAACTATCAAAGGCACTGCAAACTTGATGCCCTCAAGCAGCTTTTTTCATGTTATTCTGTGGAGTCCCGAGCTAGTGTACATACTTTGTGAACCAAATTTTCGATATTATGTAAGTTCCATTTACCTATCCATATGCATCAGGTTAAAAACAGAAAATAGATAGTATAAAAGAAAAATCTCAAAAATTAAGAATAAGCAACATGCATGTCCAAGTAAGAATAAACACTCAGAAATGTTCTGCATTATCAAAAAAATGCAGAACATTCTTCTTATTTCCAATAATTCCTACTAAATCAATATGAGAGAAGATACCAAGAATGGGTTTCAAACATTTTGGTAACAACCATTCAATAGAGTAACTCAATACAATAGTTGCACAAAATTAAAGTAAAGTAAAGTGCACCCAAAATTAACAAAACCCATAAAAGTGCACCCAAAATTAAAGAAAAACAATACTCAAGAAAAAAAAAGCAAAGAAAAATATGATCTCTGTGGCTGAAAAAATAAAAAATTAGGAGTTGATGAATATTAGATGAATTCATATGATCTTTTCTTTTTCATGCACTTTTGCTGATATTGACAACCTTATGAATAATAATAAAATGTAAGAGGACAAAAAATAAGGCTTAAAAAAAAAAACAAATAATCATGAATTTTTTTTTTTGTTGGCAACTAATAATCATGATTCATATCAGATTATTATACTTACAGGTATTTGGTAATAAATAAAGAGTGGCTGATTTTTAAATTCTTGAATGAAGTTTTTCTCTTAAGGTGGTGAATGAAAACAGTTTTCAATTCTTGAAAATTTCCCCAAATTTCCACAAATCAAACCGTAATCAACAGTTATTAATTATTCAAAATCACACAATGCATAGTTTTGGAAAGGTTGAAAAGTCAACTTGAAGGCATTTTGTAATCAGGGTATGCAAACAACACAATGCATAGTTTTGGAAAGGTTGAAAAGTCAACTTGAAGGCATTTTGTAATCAGGGTATGCAAACAACACAATGCATAGTTTTGGAAAGGTTGAAAAGTCAACTTGAAGGCATTTTGTAATCAGGGTATGCAAACAACACAATGCATAGTTTTGGAAAGGTTGAAAAGTCAACTTGAAGGCATTTTGTAATCAGGGTATGCAAACAACACAATGCATAGTTTTGGAAAGGTTGAAAAGTCAACTTGAAGGCATTTTGTAATCAGGGTATGCAAACAACACAATGCATAGTTTTGGAAAGGTTGAAAAGTCAAAATCATCTAGACTTTCCTTGCACTTTCTCAGCAACCAAATGACGCATGGCAGACCCAAAAGCACAAATCAACCGAAATTGAAACATTGGTTGCAACTATTCCCAAGATTGAAAATTAAACTCGGGGGAATTTTGTAATCTGAGTAAGCAAACAACACAATGCAGAAATTTTGAAAGGGGTATATGTTGTTCACCCCTACCTTGCATTTCTTGATGGATTTCTTTGAGATGTAAAAGAGTTCTCATTCTCCATATATAATAACAGATTCTAAGCTTTTACATGAAAACATAAATTGGAAAGACATGGTTTACAGATGTGTATGTAAGTATGTATATATATGATATATATCAATGTACATGTGTCTTAGAATGTAAGTGAATAGTATTTCAATTGAAAGTTAGGGTTCAACCAACACAATCACGGAAGGCTTTCCAAAAAATATAAAATAAAATGGGTTAGTTTTCTTTTTCATCTTTCTTTCTGGGTTTTTGAGGGAACCAAATAAGGAAAAAGTTGGAAAGTCAAAATCATCTAGTCCTTTGTTTTTCCTCACTTTCTCAGCAGCCAAACAAACCATGACTAACCCAAAACCCAAAAATCAACAAAAATTATTGACAGTAACAAATCTCAACAATGTCATGGAAAAAATATATATATAATAACAATAACAACAATTAATAGTAATAACAATATATATATAATACCTTATCGCAACCATCACCGCAAATATCGTCCTTCTTTTTAGAGCAGTAATGAGATCCCCCTTCAGCCATCGATAAACCCAACATATCTCGATAAACCTCGATAAACCCAACATATCTCTTTCTCTCTCACTACAATCACACAAAAATAGCGATCAAAGCTGTTGAAAACCCAGATCAAGCCTAAAATCGCCGAAAGTTCTGGAACCAGAAATCGATTGCAAAAAAAAATGGGAAGATCCTCCACCGCTTCACAAACTTCACAATAAACTTCAAAAACAAAGATGGCAAAACTCCCCAAAAAATAAAAAGAATCAAGAAAATGTCCAAAGGAGAGAGACATTTTCAACCATTGGATTGAATCAATCTAATGGTGTATATTTTGACAAATAGATAAAAGTCTTATCAAGATTCAAAGAGTGGTGAGTTGTGGTGTTGTTGGGTATGGGTATGTGATGTGTTGGCACCATAGGAGATCAAACTTGTAGAGAGACAGAATAGAGTTTCAAATTTTGAAATCAAAATCAGAGAGAGAAACAGTGAAGACGTTTGAGGGTGAGAAAAAAGGAGAGAGATAGAGAGGGAGAGAGAGAGAGACATTTTCACCCAAGCATTGATATTTACCCAAACTGATCTCAACCATTAAAATGTCCAAAGGAGAGAGACATTTTCAACCATTGGATTGAATCAATCTAATGGTGTATATTTTGACAAATAGATAAAAGTCTTATCAAGATTCAAAAACCTCCCTCCCTTGTTATATATATATATATATATACTTTTTGATTCAATGTTCCTGTCTCTCTCTCTTTCATCATTATCTTTTATTATATATATATATATATACTTTTTTGATTCAGTATTCCTCTGTCTTTCTCCCCCTTTCATCATCATCTTTTATTTATTTGTATCTACTCTCTCTCTCTCTTTCTCTCTCTCTCTCTCTATCTTCCTCAGAACTCTCTCAGACCACAAACCAACGTTGATCTAAGCAAAGAAGGAATAAACCAGGGAGATGGAGTCCACCACCGCCTCCGCCATTCCACCTCCGCCTCTGCCATTCGACGACGAGAGTCGATCGCAGCTCATCTCCTCTCCCTCCCTCACCGCTGCTCCACACCGTCTCTTCTATTCCACTACCACCTCACCATTGCAGATCTCTCTCTCTCTTTCTCTTTCTCGCCATTTTAAATGGCAGATCTGAAGCTTTTTTTACATATCAGATTAGATCTGGAGTTTTTGTTGTTGTTGAATATTAAATCTATGGTTGTATTGAATATCAAATCTATTGTTGTTGTTGAATATCAGATCTGTTGTTGTTGTTGTTGTTTAGTTTAGTTTATTTTTTGGCTGGGGAATTTTCGGGGTCAAGGAAACCCGATCCCCGTTAATGGGGCAGGGACGGGGACTGTGATAGGTTCCCCGTCGGGGATTTCTCGCCATTTTAAATGGCAGATCTGAAGCTTTTTTTACATATCAGATTAGATCTGGAGTTTTTGTTGTTGATCTGGAGTTTTTGTTGTTGTTGAATATTAAATCTATGGTTGTATTGAATATCAAATCTATTGTTGTTGAATATCAGATCTGTTGTTGTTGTTGTTTAGTTTAGTTTATTTTTTGGCTGGGGAATTTTCGGGGTCGAGGAAACCCGATCCCCGTTAATGGGGCGGGGACGGGGGCGGTGATAGGTTCCCCGTCGGGGATCGGGGCCGGGGATGGAGGAATTTTCACCGTTGGGGATCAAGGATGGGGAGGGTGATCCTTGGCCCCGCCCCGGCCCGTTGCCATTCCTACACAACAGGCACCCTTGTCCGGTGGTGGTATGGTAGTTGTAACAACCTTGTCTTAAATCCAAAGTTTGCATGGATAATCTTGGACATATAAAGTACCATTTCATTGTGCTTGGTTTTAATTTTTTGAAAATTAAGTTTTTATTTTTCGTATTTTTTTTATTTTTAGTTAATATTTTTAAAATTTTAAGCAATTTTTTTACTTTTTTGAATGCACCTTACTTAGATGTATCTAAATAGTAAAATATTTGTGAAAAAATATTTTAAAAAATTAATAAATACACAAAAATATGAAAAATGTACTGAATTTTCTTTCTCTCTCTCTTTTTTTTTAAAAATCTTTGGTATTTAAAGAATTTCTTAAAGATTTGTTTCACAAATATTTACTTTTTAAGTGTATTTATGTTAGGTGTGTCTAAAAATTAAAAACTTGTTTAAAATATTTAAAAAATTTAGTGAAAACAAAAAAAAATATAGAAAACAAAAAAGTAGAATTTTTTGAAAAGTGAATTCTGAAAAATGAAACCAAACAGAGTGATTAGTTTGTTACTAAATAATTTGGGTTTAAGCTTTTGGGTCACATTGGTAGACCCACAAGTTTACTTGGTCCAATAGGTAATGTGGGTCACTATTCTGGGCTGACCATGAGCTTGTCATGGTATTTTGATATGGGTTGGCCATGAGTTTGTTATAATATTCTGATTGATTATGGACTTTCGTGTGTCATGATATTTCAATTGACATCCGATCGAAAGTTTACATGGATAATCTTGGACATATATTAGTTTGCTACTAATATTGTGTTTGGTTGGGGGATTTGGAAAGAGATTTGGCAAGGAAAAAGAAAAAAGTGTGAGAAACTAGGTGAATTGTAGGGGTGTCTCTATTTACACACCACAAATCCTTTCAATACACACTACTTGCTCAGTTCACACCATACACAAATTAAAACTTTTAATTTTATCTTAATACATACCGCTAATTTTTAAATAATACCAAATCACCCTCTTCTTCTCCATCTAACCCTAACACTAATTTTAATTTTATCTCAATCCTTTATGGTTTTTGATATAGATATATATCATATATGTATATGTTGATGCATATATGTGAGACAGAGAGAGAGAGAGAGGAGAGAGCGAGTGTGGAGGGGTGGGGTGGGGTGTGGAGGATAGAGAGGAGGTGGTACACAGAGAGAATTGATGTATGTTTGTAGATTGTACTCGCTACTGCGGTGGGTTTGGTGAGCTTGCGAACCCGTTACAATGGCCACAACATTCCCAAAGATTCTGCTTTTGTTCCTCGCGAAGCACCTCCTCCTCCCGCCGCCGCCATCGCTGGGGATGGAATGAAGATAAGGGTAATTTGGATATTTAAGTGAAGGATAAAATTGTAATTAAAAAATTATGAATAATGGTGTGAATTAAGAGTAGTTGAGGTGTGTAAATAAAGTCACCCGAAATATAGGTATATTTTATTCACATTTCATCTAACTTTTCCCTTTCCATTTCTCTTTCCAAATTCCTCTTCAAATCTTCCAACCAAACGCTGTGTAAGTAACTTGGGTTTAAGTTTTTAGATCATGTTAAGTTTAAGTGCCACTATTTTGTCATTTTGAATTATTTACAATGACAATGTTAAATTTCAAGTATATTTAATTTTTTTTTATTTGAAGCATATTTTGTTTTATAGTTAGAGTTGTAGGTTTGGTCATATAAGCTTGAAGGCGGTTAGACTGCAAATTATGCATCGGTTGACCCCAACAAAACTATGCAGCCATGAGTAACCAACCTCTGTGGTGGAGGGATGAGAAGATGGTCATGTGTCTCGGAGTGAGATGAAGGCATGATTATAGGAGGCACCTCTATGTCTATTGAGATGATTCAGTTATAAATATTATGTCATCGTTTGAAAAGTTAATTATTTTAATAGGTTATTTTAATTTTTGACTATTTTAATAGATTAAAGTTTTTACATCTGAAAATTTAATTAATTTTTTTTTTTGTAGTTTAATGTGATATTTATAATAGAAAAATAAAATGGTCATAGATTTGATGTGACATTTTATCTTATTAACTATTTTATTCCATTTTATCTTTTTATAAATTAAATAAAAAAAATTAAAAATCTACTTGCCAAACATGGCTTATATGTATTGGTTACATCATTTTACGTGTCTCATTGATAGTTTCTGATTTTAAATTTATTTTTATTTGATTTGATTTGATTAGCATTTGTTAAAATATATAAAATAAATATTAAGATCAATCAAAATAATTAAATTCCATAATCAAACATTGCATTGTAGCCTATTTAACACCACACTTGCATGCTATTTATTGCAATGACTTAGCCTCCGTTTGGGAAGTGGGTTGACTTTTTGGCTTTTTGGCTTTTTTGGCTATTTTAGCCTGGGCTAAAAAGCTTGGTTTGGGAAGGGCTTTTTTGACTTTTTGATTTTTTTGACTTTTTTTGTGAGAGAAGAATGTAATGATTATAGGTTGGATGTGATGTTTTGTTTGTTATGGCTAAAATAGCCTATTTTGTTTTTTGTGGCTAAAATAGTCAAAAAAGCCTGAAAAAGCCCTTGCCAAACACAGGCTTAGAGAAAAT